CAATCAACCATGTCATAAGCCTTCTCTAAGTCCAACTTGCACACAATCCCTTTCTTCCTTGTTCTCTTCAGATCCTCCACACACTCATTGGCAATTAAAATTTGATCCACAATCAGTCTATTTCCCACAAAAGCTTCTTGGTTATGTGAAATTAGATCTGGAAGCATCTCTCTAATTCTTCTAGACAGAACCTTAGCAATTATCTTATACAAGCTATTAACCAAACTAATGGGTCTAAAGTCTCTCGGTTGACTTGCTCACATTTTCTTTGGGACTAAAGCTAAAAAGGTTGAGTTCAGTCCCAGAAGATTTATCATCCCTCCTGGAAAAATGGTGCAGATGTACTTTATAACACCCACTAGCATATGTACTTGGGGTAACTTTGACAATTGACCATGTCAACATTCCTAAGAAGTGGGCATCCAGAATACAGCTTTGGCTGCCAGTACCCAGTCCAAACTGTCCAAACATTCAGTCTGATCCAAGCCTAAGAAAATGACCCCAACTTTGCATCCAAACTAGAACTACATAATAACTTCGAAGTTCCAATAACAAGATTGATTTTTTTATTAGCAATAGCTAGATTGACTTTCCCAGGACGTTACTGTACCAGTTTAACATTAACATAAATAAATTGTTGTCTTAACTAAAAAATACACACCATGTTTCTGGTAATATTCAAGTTTAGCATTACAAATGTCAGAATATATCATGAATATCTTCTCTAGGTAAACTAGGTGCTCACTTGTTTAACCAAATCTGAACAAATAATAATAATAATAATAATAATAACAACAACAACAACAACAACAACAACAACAACAACAATAATAATAATAAACACATACCTCTTGACAATCCCCTCCACAAAACCATGTTTCAAAAACCATTCCCTTATGCATACCCTTTTCATGTATACATGCTTCATGATCTGTTGAAAAAAAAAATTACAAGTTTGAGTAGCCATAGCTCAATCAAAAAAAAAAAAAAAAAAATGAGTAACCATAGATGTCTAAATGATCCTGGGCAGTTTTACTTATGAATTTAAAGTCATACCATTAGGCACATCATATCTCTTTTTTCTAAAGTAGAAAATGTTTTATTGAAAAAAAAAATGCAAGGGATTGGTGAGATAATACTCCACCAAAAAAGCCTCTCATAAAAAGACAATGCATTGACTCAAACATTTAAACATACTCTACAACCAAATCTACAAAATTTTACATCCACAAGAAAACTGATTATTCATTTATTAGGAATCATTTTCAGTGATTGAGATTAGAAGACAATTCATTTCAAATAGAACGGAAAAGGACCAAATTCAAATCAATGTCAGTGGTCAACCCAGTTGGTTTGATGGGTCTATCCAAATTTGGTCCATAATTACCTGGTCCATTGGCTTATTCAGCCAAATTCAGGTCTCCATATATTGAAAAAGTTTAGGGGGCACATTGTGATCAGTATGACCCAAAAATGATCTTCAATGGAATGATAATTATGTTCTAACCAAATTCTCCTTGATTATTTACTTTATACCAGTTCAAAGTGCAGTCCATGAACACCACATTTATTAAGTTCAAAGTGCAGTACTCATGGAACATTTCAAGTCTCCAGCCAAAATTCAAAATTAATGCATCACATATAATAGTTATAATAACAAAAGGGGTAAAAGTTACATTTGTGCTCGCATTGTGAACATTTTAGCACGAGGAAGGAATCAGAAGCCTCTTGCGCATTGACCACATAACCACAAATCCAACATGTGCAGTTCGGGCAATACCAACTGCCTTCAGGGAGCTCCTGTGTAAAGAAAGAGATTTTAGTACACATAGTTGAACATATCCACAAATAACACACCTACTTTCTTTTAACCTATGCTAAAATTCTATTAAACAGAAGCAGTACCCATATTGAAGTGTTCAATAGAACAGGAAAATATACCTCTGATTTATCATTTATTCAAATAACATAAAATAAATATTAATTCAAAACTCATATAATACAATACTAATTTAAAATGGCTCGTCAATTAAATAACACAAAACAAATACCAATTTTTTTTTTATCAATAACATCAATTTCATTAAATTAAGAGAATAGAGGGAAAGGAATACAAAGGGAGATAAAATAACTTAGCTCCCCAAAAACAGAAAACTCAGGGAAAGCAAAGAAAATTAAAAACTAGCCCAGAAAACAGCCTCCCTATTCACTCCTTGCTTGGCCAACCC